AAATACTGAAAGGAGTATTTATCACTTCCTTAATAAGAGTGCGTAATTTATTGGCAATTTGGCAAATTAACTTTATAGTGCCTTTAATATCCTCTTTTTTTCTCATCTCTTTCCAATGAATGGGAAAATGCTTAACATTTCTTTTCACATCCAGGTGGCCCAGATTTGTCAAAGCATTGAATTTACTCGTCTGGCCAACCTGGTTCCTTTTGTCGATGCCTTCCAGCTGGAACGTGCTATTGTAGATGCAGCCAGACATTGTGACTTGCAGGTAAGCACTTAGAAAGATTTGCATGAAACTGTGTGTGGGTTCTGCTATGCTGGATGAAAACTTACCTAGTTCAAAATATGTGCAGGGTAGAAAACCAGTTCTGAGGGAGGAGATAAACTAGAATAAGAAGATGCAAGTGGGAGGGCATGTAATTAACTCCCGAGTTCTTAAATCTGGTATGGTTTTCTGATTTCTGTGAACAACAGTTAATATAGGTGCAGTGATTACGTATAAGTGCAGGGCAGCAATTAATGTAAGTGTAGTATGAGTGCAGGGCAGATGCTGAAATTAAGTTTGAGGGAACTTCCGTGGGCCTCAGTCAGTCCTGAAGCAAGTAAAAGTCCCGAAGCAAGCCTAACATAACAGTGTTTGAGTGATACTGCTCATTGGTGGAGCCACAGAGAAATAACTTAAAATAAAATCTAACCATTTTTTTCTGTTTTTGTTTTGCAAAGGTTCGCCTTGATCATACTTCTCGAACCCTGAGTTTTGGTTCCGATTTGAATTACAGCACCAGGGAGGATGCTCCGCTGGGCCCGCAGCTGCAGAGCATGCCTTCCGAGCAGATCAGCTTAAAATAAAATCTAACCATTTTTTTCTGTTTTTGTTTTGCAAAGGTTCGCCTTGATCATACTTCTCGAACCCTGAGTTTTGGTTCCGATTTGAATTACAGCACCAGGGAGGATGCTCCGCTGGGCCCGCAGCTGCAGAGCATGCCTTCCGAGCAGATCAGGAACCAGCTCACTGCCATGTCCTCAGCTCTGGCAAAGGCCCTTGCAGTCATTAAACCTCCTCACTTAATGGTAAGTTTTAAGGGTTTTCTTGTTGTTTTATTTTTTAAAAGTCTTCTGGAATTGTTGACAGATTCTGACGTTCCCTGAAGTACATTTTGTAATGTGCGTTTGTTGTCTTTTAGACTTCTGCTTTTCTGATCAACTGTTCAGTCAAGTAATCTGCTTTCAGTGCAGTGGAAATCAGTATCATTACTGTTGTCTATCGCCTTTGAAAGAACTATAGAACACCTCAATGATAAATTCCACAAATGTAGCATAGAACTAGTGTATTTTCAAATACACTAGTTCTTCTGCACCTGCTACATGTTCTGCTCTTCTAATATATCTTGATTTTCTGGATTAGCAAAATAAACTTGTGTTGAAGTTATGAGATCATACTTGAATATTACACTGCAGTTACTTTGTGTAGCTTTCCTTGACATAGAGAAGACATCAAGCTACCTAGTGATTAATCTTACAAAGCATTGCAAAAATTTGAGAAGGAAGAGGTTAGTGCTCACATAGGTGTGTTTTATGAAGTGTATTGCTTCTTTTTGCTTGTTTTATGGTAACAGTCTAATATAATTTGGCAGGAATGATGAGCTGCTTTTATATACTTTT